CCCACCAGCCACTCCTCGGAAGGAAGGTTGGGCAATCCTACTTCCGTAGTGATACTGCCTCGGAAACCCAAGGAGGGGTCGCTAAGGAGGGGCCAACTCAACGGCAAATAGCAGCAACAACAACAACAATCTTGAATCAGATTAGGTGAAATTAGAATGTGTACAGTAACTAGGCTAGCAAGTATTAATAAATAGTGGGAAGAACACTTCCTTAAACGTGATTCGTTTACTTTCCACACATTTTCTGGTAGTTTTAGAAATACTTAAAATTTGTATTTAAACACAGACTTCTCCCCTTGAACCTTATCACAAGGATAAAAACACAAGAAACATACCTGGAGGAATGATTTCTCTGTTGGTGAACATTTTTAAACTTTGCAGTGAGTTATATAAAATTTAAGATCTTTAGAAGTGTTATAAATGGAAGATATTTTATATTTTTTAATAGTTTAAAGGTAGTTCTAAGTGTACAGTAGAGATTTTTAAACTTATTTTCTGTGAACTGTATGAAAGTATTTATAATTGTGTTGTGTGTATGTGTGTGTGTACACCTTTATAAGAAAAAAATTTCCATCGCTTTTATCTTGCCCCCAAAAAGTTCCAAATCACTATCTACTGAAGCTGATAATTGGCTGAATGACCTTAATTTTTCATCCTTTCCCATGATTTATTAATTTATCAAATCTTTACTGGGAAGATGTCACACTTCTTTATTAGTAACTGAGATTATATTGGAAATAATTTCTACCTTGATTTTCTTTCAGAAACATACAGCTTTTGCTACTTTCCCTAATGAAAAAGCAGCTATAACGGTATGATTTTTTTCTTTAATGTGTTCAGCGGTTTTCTGTTTTTCAATACTTGGTTGAATAATAAGGAGATAACGTTAAACTGTAGTTTTAAAAGCAAAAAGAGTATTCCAAGAGTTTGTCGAACAGGTTATATTTGATTTTTTGGATTGGAAAAGTTGTCAGATTTTATCCCATGGTTAGGTATTTAGACATAAGAATAGTAGGTTAAGTGTAAAGTAAATTTAAATTGACTTGACATATATATATGTGTAATTGGAAATAATTTCTGAAGAGTACAGAGGTTTCTAATCTCTAGCTGTTAATAAGGCAAAGTGTTTAAATTGTTAAAAGGAAAATATAGTTTTAAAAGTTCTAGGGAGTGAATAACAAAAAAAGGTGACCTTTGATCTAGACTTTTAATGATTAGTTAGATTTTGAGAAGAAAAGGAAGGGGAGATGGGCCTTCCAAGTTTATGCATACAAAAGTGAGGCATGGAGAATTGTAAGTGGAGCAGGAGCTAAGGGTTGGGATGGAAATAGGACTTGAAAAATAGATTGAATCTAAATTTAGATGGGAAGAGAAGATTGCATTTTGTTTAGAAGGTGTTCTAAGAGGATTTGATACTTGGAGATGGGTAACAAATGATCATGTTCATGAAAGATATTTGATAGTGTTCATATCATGGATTCCCCCACTCTTCTGTCCATTTCTCCTACTGTGGTGGCTTGCATGTTGCTATGAGACTGGAAGCTATGCCACTGGTATTTCAAATACCATCAGTGTCTCCCATGGTGGATAGGTTTCATCCACTTCTCAAAAAAATCCTCCAATAAAAACCTTATGAATAGCAGTGAAACATTGTCTGATATAGTGCCAGAAATGAGCCTCTCAGAAGGGAAAGCACTCAAAATGCAACTGGTAAAGAGCTGCCTCCTCAAAGTAGAGTCATCCCTAATGACATGGATGGAGTGAAGCTTTCAAGTGTGAATCTTGGAAAATTTGAAGTTGGCAAAAATGAAATGGAATGCATAAAGATCAGTATCCTAGGCATTAGTGAGCTGAAATGGCCGTTTGAATCAGAAAACCATATGATCTGCTATTCTGACAATAACAATTTGAAGAGGAATGGCATGGCATTCATCATCACAAAAGATGTTTCAAGATCTATCCTGAAGTACAGTGCTGTAGTGACAGGATGATACCCACATGCCTAGAGGGAAGACCAGATAATACTAATATTATTCAATTTTTTGCCCCAATTATGAAAGCTAAAAATGAGGACATTGAAGATTTTTACCAACTTACGCAACCTGAAATCAGGATGTACTGATTATTACTGGTGATGGGAATCCAGAAGTTGAACACAAAGAACAATTACCAGAAGTTGGAAAATATGGCCTTGGTGATAGAAATGATGCCGGAGGTCACGTGATAGAATTTTGCAAGACCAATGACTTATCGCAGATCCCTTTTTCAACAACATAAAAGACAACTGTATATATGGACCTCACTAAATGAAGTACACAGCAATCAGATTGACTCCATCTGTGGAAAGAGGTAATGGGAAATGCTCAGTATCTTCAGCCAAAACAAGGCCAGGAACTGACTGGAACAGATCATCAGTTGCACATATGGAGGTTCAAGTTGAATATGAAGATAATTAAAACAAGTCCATGAGAGCCAAAATATGACTTTGATTATATTCCACCTTTATTTAGAGACTATCTTAAGAATAGATTTGACACTTTGAACAAGTGACCAAAAACCAGATGAATTGTGAGATGACATCAAGAACATCACACATGAAGAAAGCAAGAGGTCATTACAAAGACAGGAAGGGAAGAAAAGACCAAAATGGATGTCAGAAGAGACTATGAAATTTGTTCTTGAATGGAGAGTAGATAAAGCAAATGGAGGAAATGACAAGATAAGGGCTGAACAGATTTCAAAGAGCAGCTTGAGAAGACAAAGTCAGTTATTTTAATGAAATGTGCAGAGAGCTGGAGATAGAAAACCAAAAGTGTAGGAAGACCAAATGTAAAGCTGTTCTAATGACCAATAGAAAGAGTCTGAGAGAAGGCAGTAAGAAGAAAAACTAAATGTGAAAACTTGGAGATTGAGTTTGTATTCTTGTTACTGATTTTTGGACAGATTTAT